CACTATATCCGCTCTCCCCGACCCCCGCATTCACTATATCCGCTCTCCCCGGACCCCGCATTCACTATATCCGCTCTCCCCGACCCCGCATTCACTATATCCGCTCTCCCGGACCCCGCATTCACTATATCCGCTCTCCCCCGGACCCCGCATTCACTATATCCGCTCTCCCCGGACCCCGCATTCACTCACTATATCCGCTCTCTCCCGGACCCCGCATTCACTATATCCGCTCTCCCCGGACCCCGGACCCCCATTCACTCACTATATCCGCTCTCCCCGGACCCCGCATTCACTATATTCGCTCTCCCCGGACCCCGCATTCACTATATCCGCTCTCCCCGGACCCGCATTCACTATATCTCTCCCGGACCCCATTCACATATCTGCTCTCCCCGGACCCCGCATTCACTATATCCGCTCTCCCCGGACCCCGCATTCACTATATCTCTCTCCCCGACCCCGCATTCACCCGCTCTCCCCGGACCCGCATTCACTATAACACTTCACTATATCCGCCTCCCCGGACCCCCCCGCATTCACTATATCCGCTCTCCCCGGACCCCGCATTCACTATATCCGCTCTCCCCGGACCCCGCATTAAATAAACACTAATCCGCAACCACCAACCCCCACCAATATCCCCCGCTCCCCCCCTATACCCCGCATTCACTATATCCGCTCTTCCCGGGACCCCGCATTCACTATATCCGCTCTCCCCGGACCCCGCATTCACATATTCGCTCTCCCCCGGACCCCGCATTCACTATATCCGCTCTCCCCGGACCCCGCATTCACTATATCCGCTCTTCCCGGACCCCGCATTCACTATATCCGCTCTCCCCGGACCCCGCATTCACTATATCCGCTCTCCCCGGACCCCGCATTCACTACATCCGCTCTCCCCGGACCCCGCATTCACTATATCCGCTCTCCCCGGAGCCTGCATTCAACATATTCGCTCTCCCCGGACCCCGCATTCACTATATTCGCTCTCCCCGGACCCCGCATTCACTATATCCGCTCTCCCCGGACCCCGCATTCACTATATCCGCTCTCCCCGGACCCCGCATTCACTATATCCGCTCCCCCCGGAGCACTGGTTATGTAGGAGGAGTTTTCTTTTTTTGCTCTCAAAGGATATAGAACTCATGATCTCTGGACAGTGCTGATTAGCCCTCTGCTAATCACATGCACTCTCCCAAAGAAAAAAAAAAAAACCTCTCTAGCGATACACACTAAACTGAGCATGTGCGGGGAGGGAGCCACTGGAAGAAGGGGAGGATCAGAGAAGACAGGATGAAACAGCATTTTTACACAATGCGGAGGATTAACCCCTTAGGTTCCACAGTGAGTATAACAAGCATGCTTTACTGCATCTACAGACTGATTGTACTGCGGGGGTTCAGTAACACTTTAACGCCCTTGGGATGTCCAGCAACCTCAAATAGGTGGGATGGCCGGGTGTCCATGGAATTTTGCTCATAAAGCGTATTTATTGTAAAATGATCAATGACTGAAACAAAGAATATTTTGTACAATAATAATGCCCCCCCCCCCCCAAGGAGAGTACCTGTTACTTTAGCAATGGAGGCCTCTCTGTCTATTGTCCTGCAGAAGTAATGCTGTTTGCCAAGGACACTACTGCCAACAGACCCAGCTAGCCGGATCACCCGCCTTTTGTAGTGCAAAGTAAATTGTAGCTACTGTACATGTCTACATAAGTTGACCTGCTGCATAAAGACATCTGTTGACCAGTGTGGACCAGCTCCATAAAGACATCTGTTGACCAGTTTGGACTAGTTCCATAAAGACATGGGTTGACCAGTTCCATAAAGACATCTGTTGACCAGTGTGGACCAGTTCCATAAAGACATGGGTTGACCAGTGTGGACCAGCTCTATAAAGAAATGGGTTGACCAGCTCCATAAAGACATTTGTTGACCAGTTTGGACCAGTTCCATAAAGACATGGGTTGACCAGTTTGGACCAGTTCCATAAAGACATTTGTTGACCAGTTTGGACCAGTTCCATAAAGACATGGGTTGACCAGTCTGGACCAGTTCCATAAAGACATGGGTTGACCAGTCTGGACCAGCACCATAAAGACATCTGTTGACCAGTTTGGACCAGTTCCATAAAGACATGGGTTGACCAGTCTGGACCAGTTCCATAAAGACATGGGTTGACCAGTCTGGACCAGCTCCATAAAGACATCTGTTGACCAGTTTGGACCAGCTCTATAAAGAAATGGGTTGACCAGCTCCATAAAGACATGGGTTGACCAGTGTGTGGACCAGCTCCATAAAAACATCTGTTGACCAGTTTGGATCAGCTCTATTAAGAAATGGGTTGACCAGCTCCATAAAGACATCTGTTGACCAGTTTGGACTAGCTCCATAAATACATGGGGTGACCAGTTTGGACCATCCCAATAAAGACATAACTTGACCAGTTTGGACCAGCTCTTTAAATACATGGGTTGACCAGTTTAGACTGCATCCATAAAGAAATGGGTTGACCAGTTTGGTGTGGAGGAACTCGCATATCCTGCACACAGCCCTGACTTCCACCTTATTGAACACCTTCAGGATGAATTGAAAAGCTGGCTGTGAGCCAGGTCTTCTCATCCAACATCAGTAACTGACCTCACAAATGAGCACAAACTCCCACAGGAACTCTCAAAAATCCTGTGGAAAGTCTTCACAGTAGAGTGGTGGATATTATAGACACAAAGTGGGGGACAACACAACATGGTTTGACCAGTTTGGTGTGGAGAAACTTGATTGTCCTGCACAGAGCCCTGACTTCAACCTACTGAAATCCTTTGGCTTTGGGATTAATTGGGATGCCTATCATGAGCTAGGTCTTCTCATCCAACATCGGAACCTGACCGCACAAGTGGGTACAGCGTGGGAAGCCTTCCTAGAAGGAGGAGGCCAGTATCCTAAAACGCCCTTGGGATGTCCAGCAACCTCAAATAGGTGGGATGGCCGGGTGTCCATGGAGTTTTGCTCATAAAGCGTATTTATTGAAAAATGGTCAATTACTGAAACAAAGAATATTTTGTACAATAATAATGCCCCCCCCCCCCCAAGGAGAGTACCTGTTACTTTAGCCATGGAGGCCTCTCTGTCTATTGTCCTTCAGAAGTAATGCTGTTTGCCGAGGACACTACTGCCAACAGACCCAGCTAGCCGGATCACCCGCCTTTTGTAGTGCAAAGTAAATTGTAGGTACTGTACATGTTTTCTCTGCAGTCTGATCGATCGTGGCCAAGCATTTCTGCTGAGGTCCTCTATATTGATGGTGGACAACCAACTGTCCAGATGCATGGACAACTATCAGCACCTCCACAGCTGTACAGAGGACTTTCTCAACTTTTTTTTTTTCACATAGAGGAACACATGATAGAACTACAGCTAACAGCACATCCGTGTGAAGGGAAAGCTGAGCTTTAGGAACAAAAGAATAATGAATGTGGTTTAGTTGGGGCATTTGATACCGAGCTGATCTCTACAACACGATTATATATTATAAATAATGAAACAAATCATAATGGCCAGAAGAGGAATGCAGACAGTAACCATTGCAGCCTTCCTTCTCCATGCTTGTCAGTGGAGAAGAATCCCCTACAGTGGTGGAAGGTGGGAGAACGACCTTTGTTTTTAATTGTTGGCAACCCTGTTGGCAAGGGTGGTCACTGGGGGGGGGAATGTCTACTCACTGCTGGTGGGTGGGAAGAATGTCCCTTACATTGGGGGTCAGTGGGAAGAATGTCCCTTACATTGGAGGTCACTGGGGGGGAATGTCTCCTCACTGATGGTGGGTGGGAAGAATGTGCCTTACATTGGGGGTCAGTGGGAAGAATGTCCCTTATATTGGGGGTCAGTGGGAAGAATGTCCCTTACATTGGAGGTCAGTGGGAAGAATGTCCCTTACATTGGTGGTCACTGGGGGGGAAATGTCCTTACATTGGGGGTTAGTGGGAAGAATGTCCCTTACATTGGGGGTTAGTGGGAAGAATGTCCCCTTACATTGGGGGTCAGTGGGAAGAAATGTCCCTTACATTGGGGGGTCAGTGGGAAGAATGTCCCTTACATTGGTGGTCAGTGGGAAGAATGTCCCTTACATTGGGGGGTCAGTGGGAAGAATGTCCCTTACATTGGGGGGTCAGTGGGAAGAATGTCCCTTACATTGGTGATCAGTGGGAAGAATGTCCCTTACATTGGGGGTCAGTGGGAAGAATGTCCCTTAGATTGGTGATCAGTGGGAAGAATGTCCCTTACATTGGGGGTCAGTGGGAAGAATGTCCCTTACATTGGTGGTCAGTGGGGAAGAATGTCCCTTACATTGGGGGTCAGTGGGAAGAATGTCCTTACATTGGGGGTCAGTGGGAAGAAATGTCCCTTACATTGGTGATCAGTGGGAAGAATGTCCCTTACATTGGGGGTCAGTGGGAAGAATGTCCCTTACATTGGTGATCGGTGGGAAGAATGTCCCTTACATTGGGGGGTCAGTGGGAAGAATATCCCTTACATTGGGGGTCAGTGGGAAGAATGTCCCTTACATTGGGGGTCAGTGGGAAGAACGCCCCTTTACATTGGGGTCAGTGGGAAGAGATGTCCCTTAGATTGGTGATCAGTGGGAAGAATGTCCCTTACATTGGTGGTCAGTGGGAAGAATGTCCCTTACATTGGGGGGTCAGTGGGAAGAATGTTCCTTACATTGGTGATCGGTGGGGAAGAATGTCCCTTACATTGGGGGGTCAGTGGGAAGAATGGCCTTACATTGGTGATCAGTGGGAAGAATGTCCCTTACATTGGGGGTCAGTGGGAAGAATGTCCCCTTACATTGGGGGGTCAGTGGGAAGAAATGTTCCTTACATTGGTGATCGGTGGGAAGAATGTCCCTTACATTGGGGGTCAGTGGGAAGAATGTCCCTTACATTGGGGGGTCAGTGGGAAGAATGTTCCTTACATTGGTGATCGGTGGGAAGAATGTCCCTTACATTGGGGGTCAGTGGGAAGAATGTCCCTTACATTGGGGGTCAGTGGGAAGAATGTCCCTTACATTGGGGGTCAGTGGGAAGAATGTCCCTTACATTGGGGGTCAGTGGGAAGAATGTCCCTTACATTGGGGGGTCAGTGGGAAGAATGTCCCTTACATTGGTGGTCAGTGGGAAGAATGTCCCTTACATTGGGGGTCAGTGGGAAGAATGTCCCTTACATTGGGGGTCAGTGGGAAGAATGTCCCTTACATTGGGGGTCATTGGGAGGAATGTCCCTTACATTGGTGATCAGTGGGAAGAATGTCCCTTACATTGGGGGTCAGTGGGTGGAATGTCCCTTACATTGGGGGTCAGTGGGAAGAATGTCCCTTACAATGGGGGTCAGTGGGAGGAATGTCCCTTACATTGGGGGTCCAGTGGGAAGAATGTCCCTTACATTGGGGGTCAGTGGGAAGAATGTCCCTTACATTGGGGGTCAGTGGGAAGAATGTCCCTTACATTGGGGGTCAGTGGGAAGAATGTCCCTTACATTGGGGGTCAGTGGGAGGAATGTCCCCTTACATTGGGGGTCAGTGGGAAGAATGTCCCTTACATTGGGGGTCAGTGGGAAGAATTGGGGAAAGTCAGTCCCTTACATTGGGGGTCAGTGGGAGGAATGTCCCTTACATTGGGGGTCAGTGGGAGGAATGTCCCTTACATTGGGGGTCAGTGGGAAGAATGTCCCTTACATTGTCTGGACTGCCTCTCTTGGGGTGAAATCTGTAGATTGCAATGACTTAATACTTTTAATAGTTTTCAGGGCAAACTCTGGATACCAAACGAGTGAACGGTGTTGTCACCCTTCTAGCAGACTGCGTGGCTGAAAACCCCTCCTTTCACGATGACCACATTTTCATCCCTGCCCCACAGTAGGTGCAGCAGCCGGTAATAGTCATCCAATAGCAGATCGATCGTCACTGCACACGGATACTGGGGTCACTTTCTATATACCGGGGGCTGTGTTTTGTATATACTGGGGTCACTTTCTATATACCGGGGGCTGTTTTCTATATACTGGGGGGGTCACTTTCTATATACCGGGGGGGCTGTTTTCTATATACTGGGGGTCACTTTTATATATACCGGGGGGCTGTTTTCTATATACCGGGGGGCTCACTTTCTATATACTGGGGTCACTTTCTATATATACCGGGGGCTGTTTTCTATATACTGGGGGGGTCACTTTCTATATACCGGGGGCTGTTTTTTCTATATACTGGGGTCACTTTCTATATACCGGGGGCTCACTTTCTATATACTGGGGTCACTTTCTATATACCGGGGCTGTTTTTTATATACTGGGGGTCACTTTCTATATACCGGGGGCTGTTTTTCTATATACTGGGGGTCACTTTCTATATACCGGGGGCTGTTTTCTATATACTGGGGTCACTTTCTATATACCGGGGGGGGGCTTTTTTTATATACTGGGGTCACTTTCTATATACCGGGGCTTTTTCTATATACCGGGGGCTTTCTTTTTTCTATATACTGGGGTCACTTTCTATATACCGGGGGCTGTTTTCTATATACTGGGGGTCACTTTCTATATACCGGGGGCTGTTTTTATATACTGGGGGTCACTTTCTATATACCGGGGGCTGTTTTCTATATACTGGGGTCACTTTCTATATACCGGGGCTGTTTTCTATATACTGGGGTCACTTTCTATATACCGGGGGGCTGTTTTCTATATACTGGGGGTCACTTTCTATATACCGGGGGCTGTTTTTCTATATACTGGGGGGTCACTTTCTATATACCGGGGGGCTGTTTTCTATATACTGGGGTCACTTTCTATACCGGGGGGGGGCTGTTTTTCTATATACTGGGGTCACTTTCTATATACCGGGGGCTGTTTTTCTATATACTGGGGGTCACTTTCTATATACCGGGGGCTGTTTTCTATATACTGGGGGTCACTTTCTATATACCGGGGGCTGTTTTCTATATACTGGGGGTCACTTTCTATATACCGGGGGGCTGTTTTTCTATATACTGGGGTCACTTTCTATATACCGGGGGCTGTTTTCTATATACTGGGGTCACTTTCTATATACCGGGGGCTGTTTTCTATATACTGGGGGTCACTTTCTATATACCGGGGGCTGTTTTATATATACTGGGGTCACTTTCTATATACCGGGGGCTGTTTTTCTATATACTGGGGGTCACTTTCTATATACCGGGGGCTGTTTTTCTATATACTGGGGGTCACTTTCTATATACCGGGGGCTGTTTTCTATATACTGGGGTCACTTTCTATATACCGGGGGGCTCACTTTTCTATATACTGGGGGTCTGTTTTTATATATACTTTCTATACCGGGGGCTGTTTTCTATATATACTGGGGTCACTTTCTATATACCGGGGGCTGTTTTTTATACTTTCTATATACTGGGGCTGTTTTTCTATATACTGGGGTCACTTTCTATATACCGGGGGGCTGTTTTCTATATACTGGGGTCACTTTCTATATACCGGGGGGGGGCTTTTTTATATATACTGGGGGGTCACTTTCTATATACCGGGGGGCTGTTTTCTATATACTGGGGGGGTCACTTTCTATATACCGGGGGCTGTTTTTCTATATACTGGGGTCACTTTCTATATACCGGGGGGCTGTTTTTATATACTGGGGGTCACTATCTATATACTGGGGGCTCATATACTTTCACTTTCTATACCGGGGGCTGTTTTCTATATACTGGGGTCACTTTCTATATACCGGGGGGGTTTTTTTATATATACTGGGGTCACTTTCTATATACCGGGGGGGCTGTTTTCTATATACTGGGGTCACTTTCTATATACCAGGGGCTGGGGGGGGCTGTTTTCTATATACTGGGGTCACTTTCTATATACCGGGGGCTGTTTTCTATATACTGGGGGTCACTTTCTATATACCGGGGGGCTGTTTTCTATATACTGGGGGTCACTTTCTATATACCGGGGGCTGTTTTTTTTATATATACTGGGGGTCACTTTCTATATACCGGGGGCTGTTTTCTATATACTATTTCTATGGGGGCACTTTCTATATACCGGGGGCTGTTTTCTATATATACTGGGGGCTCACTTTTCTATATATACCACTTTCTATATACCGGGGGCTTTTATATATACTGGGGTCACTTTCTATATACCGGGGGGCTCTTTTTCTATATACTGGGGGGGTCACTTTCTATATACCGGGGGGGCTGTTTTCTATATACTGGGGGGGTCACTTTCTATATACCCGGGGGGGGGTCACTTTTCTTTTCTATATACTGGGGTCACTTTCTATATACCGGGGGCTGTTTTCTATATACTGGGGGTCTTTCTATTTTTCTATATACTGGGGGGTCACTTTCTATATACCGGGGGGGGGGCTGTTTTTCTATATACTGGGGGGCTGTCACTTTTTCTATATACCGGGGGCTGTTTTCTATATACTGGGGTCACTTTTTATATACTACCTATATACCGGGGGCTGTTTTCTATATACTGGGGGTCACTTTCTATATACCCGGGGGGCTGTTTTCTATATACTGGGGGTCACTTTCTATATACCGGGGGGGCTGTTTTTATACTATATATATACTGGGGGGTCACTTTCTATATACCGGGGGCTGTTTTCTATATACTGGGGGGTCACTTTCTATATACCGGGGGGGGGCTTTTCTATATACTGGGGTCACTTTCTATATACCGGGGGCTTTCTATATACCGGGGGCTTTTTCTATATACTGGGGGTCACTTTCTATATACCGGGGGCTGTTTTCTATATACTGGGGTCACTTTCTATATACCGGGGGCTGTTTTTATATATACTGGGGGTCACTTTCTATATACCGGGGGCTGTTTTTATATACTGGGGTCACTTTCTATATACCTGGGGGGGTCTTTTTCTATATACTGGGGTCACTTTCTATATACCCGGGGGCTGTTTTTTCTATATACTGGGGGGGTCACTTTCTATATACCGGGGGGCTGTTTTTATATATACTGGGGGGTCACTTTCTATATACCGGGGGCTGTTTTTCTATATACTGGGGGTCACTTTCTATATACCGGGGGGCTGTTTTCTATATACTGGGGTCACTTTCTATATACCGGGGGCTGTTTTCTATATACTGGGGGGTCACTTTCTATATACCGGGGGCTGTTTTCTATATACTGGGGGTCACTTTCTATATACCAGGGGCTGTTTTCTATATACTGGGGTCACTTTCTATATACCGGGGGCTGTTTTCTATATACTGGGGGTCACTTTCTATATACCGGGGGGCTGTTTTTCTATATACTGGGGGTCACTTTCTATATACCGGGGGGCTGTTTTTCTATATACTGGGGGTCACTTTCTATATACCGGGGGCTGTTTTTTTATATACTGGGGGGTCACTTTCTATATACCGGGGGGGGTCTGTTTTTATATACTGGGGGGTCACTTTCTATATACCGGGGGCTGTTTTCTATATACTGGGGGTCACTTTCTATATACCGGGGGGGGGTTGTTTTCTATATACTGGGGGGTCACTTTCTATATACCGGGGGGCTGTTTTCTATATACTGGGGGGTCACTTTCTTTCTATATACCGGGGGCTGTTTTTATATATACTGGGGGTCACTTTCTATATACCGGGGGCTTTTTTCTATATACTCTATATACCGGGGGCACTTTTCTATATACACTTTCTATATACCGGGGGCTGTTTTCTATATACTGGGGTCACTTTCTATATACCGGGGGGGCTGTTTTTATATACTGGGGGTCACTTTCTATATACCGGGGGCTGTTTTCTATATACTGGGGTACTTTCTATATACCGGGGGGCTCACTTTCTATATATACCGGGGGCTGTTTTTTCTATATACTGGGGGTCACTTTCTATATACCGGGGGGGCTTTTTATATACTGGGGGTCACTTTCTATATACCGGGGGCTCACTGGGGTCACTATATATACCGGGGGCTGTTTTCTATATACTGGGGTCACTTTCTATATACCGGGGGCTGTTTTCTATATACTGGGGGGTCACTTTCTATATACCGGGGGCTTTTTTCTATATACTGGGGTCACTTTCTATATACCGGGGGCTGTTTTCTATATACTGGGGTCACTTTCTATATACCGGGGGGGGCTGTTTTATACTATATATATACTGGGGGGTCACTTTCTATATACCGGGGGGGGGCTGTTTTCTATATACTGGGGGTCACTTTCTATATACCGGGGGGGCTGTTTTCTATATACTGGGGGGGGTCACTTTCTATATACCGGGGGCTGTTTTCTATATACTGGGGTCACTTTTTTATATACCGGGGGCTGTTTTCTATATACTGGGGTCACTTTCTATATACCGGGGGCTGTTTTTTATATACTGGGGTCACTTTCTATATACCGGGGGTCACTTTCTATATACCGGGGGGGGTGTTTTCTATATACTGGGGGTCACTTTCTATATACCGGGGGGGCTGTTTTCTATATACTGGGGGTCACTTTCTATATACCCAGGGGGCTGTTTTCTATATAT